CAGTTGTTTAGCGATGAGAATCCTAATGCTTGTTGTATCTCATGAGCTCATGAGAGGGAGAGCTAGCTTATATTATTATTAAGTAAAGATATGCTAGCCAATCCTACACGTTGTATTTTGTAATTGTATGTAGCATGCAGGTATTGTGATCATGATTAATTATGAATCGTTATAAGAACAGTACAAACATTAATTCTCCTCCCGTCGTTTATTAATTATCATTGGCATGTGAAAGCATTCAGTGGTTCCTTGTATGTATTAATATAATAATTGGGAGCTGGAGAGAGACTACTATTTTCATCATAAGCATTATTTGTTTAGTGTGGGTACTTTTTTTTTCAAGAGTAATTAGAATGAGTGGTATCCTTGGCGGGGGGTAACGAGTGACAGATCGAGAATAATCACAGCATAGCTTTTGGCGTACCATCAATGCAATGATACTGGATCTAAACCAATTACGCAATATTAAATCAGGATAAATTTTGGGTTTATAGAAGAACTTATTATTAATTTGTTGCAGCTTGGATGGTGGTCCTCATGTGCATGGGGGGCGGGGCATGGCTTGCCGGATGAGAGAGGTACGGTGTTGGGATTCACATGGGATTGGGCTCGTAATTTGTCGTTAGTGAAGCAGAAATGGGACAAGACGGTGAGGGTGGGCGGTCTCTTTTCCTTTCCAACCGCCATCTGACGTGGGTTGTTGAATGCTGAGGACAAGTTGGTCTTTGCCCACATGCACCATCGTCCAATTATGAAGCCTCTGGAATCTGTTTGATGATGCAATTGTGAGAATTTAGGCTTATGGAACACAAGTTCAACCATTCATAATAACGTAAGAGAATGTTTCTTTAACAGTTGATTAGTGCTCAACAAAATTTATAGGCTGGGTATAATACTACTTATTTTCTTTATAAAAGGTATTACACAGTCTACAAACTATAGTCTAACATTATTCAATCTATGTATAACTTTCAAATATATATATTAAATAAAAAAATAGTAAACCCTTTATTACAATTTGGGTACATGGGTAACGAGGAGCCCTATACGTGGAAGGAATGTCCAAATATTTCAAGAAGCATTATAACGAGATATTACAATGCCTACCCGCTACTTGTGAACCAGACAATAGGTTATGCAGTCACCATGCAATATGGCTAGAATATGACAAGGCTGCTTCTCTTTGCAAACACAATCGCATTTTTTTCAGTACAGAAATTGGCACTCAACTCTGGCCACGTTCTTTCTTCTTTTTCTTCCTTTAAACAGCTATATACAACAACAAAAATTACAAACAAAGCAAAATATTGCATAACCATCTACTCAAATACAAATCTTATCAGAACTACGCCTCTAGGAGTGAGAAGGTTTGAACTACAAATGGAACAGTGAAATTTCTCAAAATGACCCTTTATCCTCCCATGAATGCTTCAGGATCACCATGTTGTATGTGGTTGTGGTGATGAAAATAGCACTCCGTCTACTCAGGCAGCACAAGAGTTCAAGAGCACCAAAGTTCCAGCAAATAGCAGGAATATAACAAATACAGCCACCCCAACTATGACGATAGGGAATGAACCAACCCTAGGTACTTCCTGACGCAGAGAAGAGCTTCCCAGTTTAAAATCATTGTCAGCTTGGAGCTGTTGGGTTCTCAATCTCAATTCCTCATGTTCATCGGAAGAAGAAACGAGTGTAGACTTTGGAGAGGTAGTTTCATCTATATCAACAGAGAAAACCGCATGATTAGCATGGTAGTATTAAGAGAAAATATAAAAACTGCTGATTATTAAAACAGCATATCCGTTGCATATATTTACCTTCATCAGAGGAGAATTGCTCACTGTTATCAATAACAGTAGGCTCTGAGTCTTCTGTTTGTTCATCAGCCTTGTTCTTCTCATGTTCCTCGGCCTAAAGACATCAGATGGTTAATCCCTTGCAGGCAATGGGTCACAAATTTAATGCCAAAGAATATATGAAATATATTACCTTTGATAATTTCATCTTATTAATGTAGTTGTCTTGTTTGGATATTTTCTTCATTTGATTTGAGCTTTGCAACCGAATCCTCCTCTCTGCTATGCCCTGCTGCTCAGGGTAATTGAATGAAGAGGCAAATGAGCTGGTCATATTTTCTCGATTTCGATGCCTGATGTTGATGTTATCTCCAATGGAATTGGCTGGACCAACTGAATATTCACCAAACTTGGAATAACGGACAGGCAAGTTTCTAATTTCCATGGATTGGAAATAGAAGGTTGATTCGGTTTCCAGACCAAGGCCACCCTAAAATCATGAAAATGCACATAAAAAAAGAGCGTGTGAAACTTAATACTTAATTTCATCAGTAAAATTAACTTTCAAGAAACGTTTTCACTTTAGTCTCAAATAAGCCTTCTCACCTGCGTCCTTAGAGCTTCTGAATCAACATAACTGCTCATACAACTATCCGTGTCATTAATCATAGAAATTTGACCATCAGAAACAGCCTCTGTTTCTCCCCGACAATCCGCCACATCAGCAGAATATTCTTCTGGAGTACTGAGCATAGCATCTAATAACGCAGAAACAGAGTCTTGCTCAGATGTCTGATACTGAGCCTGAGTCTGGTCATCAGCAGAATTTATTCCATAATCTGAACTTATTAACGTCAGTGAATTGATTTGTGGAAGATCATCAGAAAATAGATGCTCATATTCTGGACCTAAGAACTGTGCTAAATCATCAAACAAAGGAGGATCCTGAATTTACAGCAGAAACAAGCTTTGCTTAGGATCTATTATCTTAGTTCAATAGTGTGTAAGAAGTAGAGAGCATAAGAAATGGAAAATAGCGTTTGCCAAACTATACAGAGAAATATTCAGAAATTCTCACCTCCACTCCAGTATTTTTAGTCTCCCATTCACCGGCATCTAAAGTCATATTGCTGTTGCAATGTCTTTCTTCTAGTTTAATGGGATGAGATACCAAGTAATTTGCTTCATCAGCCAGCCTGATATCTGCTGGTTGCTTGTTAAATGTGATAGGCAAAGGCTGCAACTCTTTTTGCAGGTGCGACTCGGGTGACTCTCGAGTTGATGATGTTGCAAATTCTTCTTCCAAGCCATCTTCTCTTTGGGACATACTGCTTGGAGAAGACTTGGCCGGGGTAGGGGAAAGCGTCTCTTCAGACTTTTTAAACAGTCGGCAAAGAACAAAGCTACCCTGCCAAAAAATGAAAGAGAGTACATATGTCAGAATCAGCATGAGAGCACTGTTATCTACAGCAAGGAAGCTAGTTCAAGTTGTCCAAATGCCAAGCATGAATCCATAATTGGTGCAAGAAGTCAAGTATGCGCTTCTCCATGAACATATGTCACGGTAAAATCCTTTACAAACTAACAAGGCAATATATGATAGCATAGTATAATAGCAATGCAAATGTCACATAAAAATCTATAACATGCACTACGCCTCTTAGAGAGAGTTTGATCATCCATTCCCCCCTCAACACATCCCACCAATTGTAGTGCACATTTTCACACTTCCCGACCTGACTAGTATTTTCCATAAGGATATGCATACGTAGAGTGTGAGATCCTTCTTTTTTTTTTTTTGACAATAGTAACCAGCTGTCCATCTATCTGCTTTGAGGTTCTTTCATATAGAAATACATATTCATATAGACATATAGACGTCGTTGACAAACAAGTAGGTACACAGTTATGCTTTCATGTCTGGATTTGGAGAGGAAAAAAGTGTCCTATTTCAGCACCGCTTTCTGTGTTGGTATCCAGTTTCTCAATATCATAGCAAGGTTTTAACTATTGGATATTGGGGAAATATCGGATGGTCAAAACTCATTTCTGATTGCAGATATTGGGGAAATATTGGGGATATGTGGTAAATATCGGAATGCCAAAACAGATGTTTGCATATATCATATAATGTACTAAAATGTTATCGCAACATACTTAATGAAATCTAAACATACAAAATGTAAATAATATATGTTTAGGATCACTAATCAACCTTATAAAACAAAAAAAGTCAAATCAACATTGCTACATATCGTCAGACTCTTTTGTAGGCCAAAATGTCATTTGATAAATGGGAAAACATGATGTCTCCCCCCAAAAATTGCCCAATGTAGTATATTATTTTGTGACAAGTCATACAAAAGTATATATCAGCCAATATATCGGCTACATCGGGGATATATTGCCCAAAATAGCCAAAATGGAGTAAAGGATATTTTAGAGATCATATTGGTTGCAGCAAGCCGTGTAAAAGGATATATCGGGCCATATCGGGGATATTTAAAACAATGCATCATAGCAATCTCTGTGTGTGACTATGGTGTGCGTTGTGTGCGCATCTGCGCAGGTAAGTGCAGTGTGTCGGTAGGTGTGTGCACGTGTAAGTGTGTGCTTGCTGATGAGTTTATCCTAAAAACTTCTTTATAGCTGAAATTAAATGCTTGTATATTGGATAGTATACTTCCTAGAAAAAGTGGTACATATTGCTGTAAAGGAAATTAAATGGTAGAAATCAGAGTTTTGAAGTTGGAGGATAACAACTCAGACAAGATTTGGATGAAAGAAATCAAGGAAAAGAACCAAGTGGGAGACACAACTTTTCCCTTCACTTTAATAGTTTCAAATTCCTCCTTTCACCACAAACCTGTATAAATCTTACTATACAATCTTTTGTTCCGAAAACATTTTACTGACAAGAAGAAATCTTTGCTTGAACAGCATGTGCCTCCATACATATACTCATTTCTTTGCTTGAAACCATTTCATTCAATTTCAGCCCACATTCATTCCAGACTGAAGACACACAATCTAAGTTGCACGGAAACATGTACAGGTATGGGTATGGTTACAATTATGGTTACAAGTATAGATGTGGGTGCGAATATGGGATACAGTAAATATGTAAAATGTAGGGTATAGGGGGACA